CTCGAGAATCTTTAAATGGATGTTCATGTTTTTAGTTGGCAAGTTACCATTGACAATACCAAGGTCAAGTTCGGATATGGGCTTCGTGGGGGGTCCCCACGTCATTGAATTAGAAAGTACTGCAGCGAAACTTCTGGTTTTTAAATCTCGTGATATGGACGTGCTATGGTCATGATTTTTAGATGGTAGGTAGCTCTCGTGCTCAGAAAGAAGTGCCGTAAGTTTGGGCCCCGTAGCAGCTTGTTTGGAAAATGCAGAGGCATTTGTTTGAAAATGTCTGAAGCAGGATAGCTCAAGAACCGGTTGACGGATTGTTGTTATTTTTGGGATCTCGGTAGCTTAAGTGATGCTTGACCTAATTAGATGACAATTACGCAGATCACGATCTAATTTACATAATTAATGACAAAAGTCTATAAATCTGCTGTGTTCCATAATAGAACAATTAAAATGGTGGCATATTTAATCAAGAGGAAGAGGAACAGTAACAGATATTAATTATGTAAATTGTAACCCAATTTGATTAATTGATAAGAGAAATCTAAATGTCTTTCATACTGCAGTTACGTAGTGGGCTTTTGGTGATTGTTAGTTTTTCAGTAGTTGAAGTAGAATAGAATTTTTTCTTAAATTTTTTGTGAATGGGTTAAGGGGTTTAGATCGAGGGTTTAAAGTTTGGAGTCTGTAGTAGGTTGTGGGTACGTGTAATAGCCTAAGGACATTTTGTTTGCACATCTTTAAAGTGTAGGCGAAGTCTTTGTCCTTTTATGTAGTTGGTTAAACTAAAGATAACAGATATCAGGGTGAACTAGGGTAAGATAACAATAACACTGACAGGGTGTAGAGATAATTGTTTGAACAGTACCAACGAAGTGTCCTATAATAACAAGAGTCTCAGCTACTCTGAAAACAGCCCTGACAAGTTAGTACTGTATATCAAAATAGACACAGATGTGGAAGTGGGTCACATCCTTGAGCTCTACATTATCTGGGGCAGGCAAGCAGTTTTGATAGCTCATGATGTAAACAGGCTGGCTGGTGTCAATAAGGCTTAATTTGCATAAATAATGAGAAAAATGCTATAAATAGTAGTATAATGCAATAGTGGTGACTGACAGAAATTTCATACTGGCTGCATTTGGAAGTTTGACTTTGATGGGCTTTGTGGGGGGTCCCCATGTCATTGAATTAGAACGTACTGCAGTGAAACTTCTGGCTTTTAAATTTCGTGATCTGGACGTGCTAGGGTCATGATTTTTAGATGGTTGTTAGCTCTCGTTCTTTGACATGCTGCATTTTCCCCTAACTTGTTAGGGGGCTCTGTTGCAGGACTGCTGGACTAGTATTGAGCTTCTCAGACAGTTAACAAGAACTCCAGCTCTCTAGCGTTTTGAAGTCGTGTAAACAACGCTAATTGTCTGATTTGCTGGTAAACCAATACCCTAGACCTCGAAACTAAAGACTTATTTATTGTTGTAGGTGAACACAGATTTGCAAAACTGACCCAAAATGAGAGTTAACATCATTTGTTAACATCATTAATTTTGTCGAAGGCATGAAATCGTGGAATTCTAGTTCATAATGATTGTTGATACTTTCTCATTTAACTGCTTTCTGTGTAGCTATTGAACAATCTCTGGGACGCAAAAAGTTCTTCAGTATATAAGCAATGTCAGAGCCTATAAGTGCCATCAATCATCTGCTTTATCCGTGTAAACTGAGCGTAGTAAGAGGCGGCCTTTCTGTAATCACCAAAGTCTCTCCAGGTAACGCACAAGTTTTTAAGTGAGTCTGCGATGTCAGGATGTGCGCTGCCCTCACCATAGATACTCCTCATCATCTCTAGAGCCTGTTCAAAATAGCGGACGGCCTTCCTGTGATCGCCAAGGTGACTCCAGGCGATACCTAAGTTGTTAAGTGAAGAGGCGATGTAAGGATGTGAGTTGCCCTTACCATAGATACTCTGCTTCATCTCTAGTGCCTGTTCATGATAGCTGATGGCCTTTCTGTAATCACCAAGGTCACTCCAGGCATTACCCAAGTTGTTAAGTGACGAGGCGACATCAGGATGTGCGTTGCCCTCACCATAGATACTCCGCCTCATCTCTAGTGCCTGTTTATGATAGCTGACGGCCTTTCTATGTTCACCAAGGTTCCTCCAGGCGGTACCCAAGTTGTTAAGCGACGAGGCGATTTCAGATTGTGCTTTGCCCTCGCCATAGATACTCCGCCTCATCTCTAGCGAATGTTCATGATAGCTGACGGCCTTTCTGTAATCGCCAAGGTCACTCCAGGCATTACCCAAGTTCTTAAGTGACGACGCGATGTCAGGATGTGCGTTGCCCTCACCATAGATACTCCGCCTCATCTCTAGTGCCTGTTTATGATAGCTGACGGCCTTTCTATGTTCACCAAGGTTCCTCCAGGCATTACCCAAGTTGTTAAGTGACGAGGCGATTTCAGATTGTGCTTTGCCCTCGCCATAGATACTCCGCATCATCTCTAGTGCCTGTTCATAATAGCGGACGGCCTTTCTGTGATCGCCAAGGTCACTCCAGGCATTACCCAAGTTGTTAAGTGACGAGGCGATATCAGGATGTGTGTTGCCCTCACCATAGATACTCCGCATCATCTCTAGCGCCTGTTCATGATAGCCGACGGCCTTTCTGTAATCGCCAAGGTCACCCCAGGCATTACCCAAGTTGTTAAGTGACGAAGCGATATCAGGATGTGCGTTGCCCTCACCATATATACTCCGCATCATCTCTAGCGCCTGTTCATAATAGCTGACGGCCTTTCTGTGATCGCCAAGGTTACTCCAGGCATTACCCAAGTTGTTAAGTGACCCGGCGATATCAGGATGTGCGTTGCCCTCACCATAGATACTCCGCATCATCTCTAGTGCCTGTTCATGATAGCTGATGGCCTTTCTATGATCACCAATGTCCTTCCAGGCGGCACCCAAGTTGTTAAGTGACGAGGCGATATCAGGATGTGCGTTGCCCTCACCATAGATACTCCGCATCATCTCTAGTGCCTGTTCATGATAGCTCACGGCCTTTCTATGATCACCAAGGTTCCTCCAGGCGGTACCCAAGTTGTTGAGTGATGAGGCGATATCAGGATATGCGTTGCCCTCACCATAGATACTCCGCCTCATCTCAAGTGCCTGTTCATAATAGCTGACGGCCTTTCTTTGATCGCCAAGATTACTCCAGGCCGCACCCAAGTTGTTGAGTGACGAGGCGATATCAGGATATGTGTTGCCCTCACCATAGATACTCCGCTTCATCTCTAGTGCCTGTTCATGATAGCTGACGGCCTTTCTATGATCACCAAGGTTCTTCCAGGCGTCACCCAAGTTGTTAAGTGACGAGGCGATATCAGGGTGTGCGTTGCCCTCACCATAGATACTCCGCATCATCTCTAGTGCCTGTTCATAATAGCTGACGGCCTTTCTGTGATCCCCAAGGTTCTTCCAGGCGGCACCTAAGCCGTTTAGTGACGAGGCGATATTATGATGTGCGTTGCCGTTACCATAGATACTCCGCTTCATCTGTAATGACTGCTGATGATAGGTGACGGCTTTTCTGTTATCACCAAGGTTATACCAGGCTTTACCCATCTTATAAAGTAACCCGGCAATGTCAGGATGAATCGCACCCGTTCCGTGTGTTGATAGTACTGTTTTAAGTGTCTGTTCAATGCATGTCTTTGATTGATTGTAGTCGCACAGACTTTCGTATACATCTGCTTGCAGCATTAAAGAGTTGTCAAAAAGAATCGAGGGCTCTTCTACTGGTTGACCGTTGCTAAGTTGCGAAACAAAGTTCTTCAATGGTGTTGCCGTGTAGTAGTATCTCATGAGCTGTTTTACATTGGAGAAGTGAAAAATTCTCTTTGTTTTTTCCTCAATGTCATCATTGACTGACATTGACGATAAGACTGACATGTTTTCCACCTGACCACGATTGTTCATGTAAGTTCGCAACCTCAGTTCTGCTGAGATGCTGACCAGAACCATTAAGTGATGTGCGTTCTTGTCGCTTATGGCACCCTTCTTGTACATAGCCTGTATAGTCTCCCAGATTGTGGTCGGCTGTATGTCACAGAGCAGTGCCCAACAAGATACAGCAAGGCTTGAAAAGCGATAAACTTCTTTTTTTACATTCAGCATCCGGGAAGTCGGATTCTGCATTTCAAAAGTCTTATTATTTTCCATCAACATAGTGTTTGCTAGTAGCCTGGCAATTTCACTTCCATTTTTCTTCAGTTGCTGATTCCATGCAATGGTGTATTTGTCGACCAAGCCTTGTTCTCCAGTAATTAATGACACATTTCCTAACACACTCGCTAGGTGGTAGCCTTTCTTAAGATGTAGCTTAACGTCATCTTCAAGAAACTTTGCCATGTGGCTTGGTGTGCGAATAAGAAGGCATGTTTTACCTCTCCCTAGTGGGGTTTTACATGCATGTGGCATGGCTCCATCGAAAGAAAAGCCACGTGGCGTTACAGAGTCATAGAACCAGTCGTCAAGCGTGTTCTTTGACTCAAAGTCATTGAGAGACTTGATCGCCATGGCCGGGAGAATGGTTTCCCCTAGATTGATCACTTTAAGATGAAGGTAATGTGTTAGGTTGTGAAAGTATTTAAGACTGTTTTCTGTTTCCTCCTCTATCAAAATAGCAAACTCCAGATCGGAGTATGGAGTTACTAACCCTGTGGCCTGTGAACCCAGTCCTATTATGGCGTAATTGCAAGGACGGGGGCCCATAACCTCCATACACTCATCTACAAGGTCAGCTATGAATGTTTTTCGCTGATGAACAATAGTGTCAAACAAGGCTTTGTTTGCTTCCACTCTCTTCTTCTCTGCCACTCTTATCTCTGGGTCGTTGTCATCAAGGCTGTAAGGATCTATCTGCTGCTCAGTTCTTTTGATTTCTTCTTCCACATAGCAGCGGCATTCTCTTAGCACTGATTTGTGTTTCTCTATGTCATCCGTGGGTACCGTTTGTTCGATACTTAGGACATGCTTAACAAAAGATTGTGTTATTTCCTGTATTGTGTGTTTGATGCCCTCTTTGTTTACTACCTTTGCTCTCACCAGTGCTGCGTTACTGAGTGCTGCAGCCTTGGTGAAATCACCTCCGTCTTTTGACTGCTCTCCTCTCTTTAGGTAGACATTGCTTAACTTGCAAAGGGGCTCTGTCTCTATCCAGTGCTGACCTGCATTGGAATATGATATAAACGATCGTTGCTAGATACTTATGCCCCAAGAGTTTTTTTTTCAAAAGCTCATTTGCACGTTAGCTGACACAGTGTGTGACACACCTGTGTATGTTTTTATATTGACTTCACTAACCTTGCTGTAAGAAGTTTATTGCAAATCCATGCCCGAAGGCTAATTGCAAGTCACAAACATAAAAGAACATTGAAACAGAGTATAAAATAACTTCAAAATGTACATAATGACATCTAATTGTCTAAAACTATTGCTATGTCTAAAACTGTGTCTGAATGGTTTGACTTCTCGTTTGTAAACCATGGAAGACATAATGTCCTACCTTTTCTAAAATTTGTGGGTTTTGATAAAATCTAGATTGTCACCATGTGGCAGGTACACTCACCTTTCCCATGAACGGCCTTGAGCGCTGCTGCAAATTTCCGTTCTGCCGTGTCCAGGTCTCCTGTCTGCAGGGCCCTGCAGCCCTCCTGCAGCTGGTCTTGGTACGTTCTATAGAAAAGGAGTCACAATTATTGATACTGTAACTTAAGCCTATACAGGACGTGAGACTTTTAATGTACTGTTAATATGCTGAGCATCAATCTCATCTTGTCGGTGCAAACTAAACAAAAGACATTAAACAAACCTGTCTGTGACTTCCTGTTTGTCTTTGCTGCTGTTTCCAACTTTCTTGTTTCTGGTTAGTCCCGATTCTCGGCGTTTCTTTGGAAAGAAGATAATGAATGAAGATGAAAACTTAGCTTAGATTTGTAAACAATAACCTAGTAGCACGTAAGAAAAGTAGGATTTCCAATCGTCAATTAAATATATAATGAACATTGCATTTTGAAAAGGACTTGGTTTATTATTTATCAGTCGCATAACGCTGACGTTTAAACTAAATATCTGTGCAACACGCCAAAACGCCATATTTGAAAGTGAATTTAATATGATTGAAAAGGATAAGCATTTGCTAACCTTGCGTTCTTTCTCCTTGACTTTCTCCACATACTTGATGCGGTGTCTTAGTGTTTCTCTGCCGTCTGAATCTTCACAGCGGTCCAGCGCCGCTCGGTACAGACCAGCTGATTTACTGAACGCTGTCTCGTCCTTACCAACCCTTCCCTTCTCTAGGTACACATCTCCCAGGCTCTTCATAGATTCTACTTCCAAACGTTTGTTTCCTTCCACGATTGCTTTCACTAACGTCTTCGTATAACCTTTAACCAAGGGCACCGTACCATGTCTTTTCAACTTGGACTTCTTTTTCACTTCGTGAAGGGTCGTGGACACAGCCAATATGTTACTGCCTGTATTCGTAGCACACGCTTTTAGAACCTCTTGATCATGGATCAGTTTCGTGCATTTCTCTGCATATCTGATGCGATGCTGTACAACTTGCTTCTTCTCAATACTAGTGTAGTACCGTAAGAGTTCCGTGTACAACGAGCAGGCCTTGTGGAAGTTCTCTGCTTTATGCTTGTTCATCTTTGCTTTGTGCAGGTACAAGTCTCCGAGACCTTTCAAGGCTTCACACTCCAAAACCTCATTTTGAGTACTTATAGCGTGAACCAACTTCCGTGCGTATCCCCTCTCTACAACATCCAGATCAGAACCGCTTTTAAAGATTAAGTCTAGTTCCCGAAATTCGCCCACCACCTTAGGCAGCTTGGTGTGTGACATTTTTGTTCCTCCTGACAGGGTTTCTTTGCTTAGCAATCAGAATCTGTTCTTTGGTCTTCCTTCCTTACAAGCACGATATAGAAGATTATGACCACCAGTGTCCTCACATTGTCGTACAGTTCTGCATGGTACCAATATTGCTTATGTTATTAACCCATCTTTGTCGAAGGCACTCGGGCTCATTGACCTGAGAGAGAATAAGAATTGCACGAATCATGGATGTGCTGAATGTATATATACAATTACGTTAGGACATGTTGACTTGATTATATGGATGGCATCCTCTGTAATATTTTGGCACCAGTTAATGAAGAAGCAGAATGTGTACCAGTCCAGAACCATTTAAAACTCTCGTGAATGTTTCTTGAACTAACAGGAAGAGGAGACAAAGGTGAATTTTTATCATGTTTGCAACGGGATGGGGGAGGGGGGCGGGATGCTAGCAAATCAGAAATACATTCTTGGTACGAAGAATTGAGTCTCGCTAGGTTCGAAGTGCGTCTACAGTGTTCTGTATTCTGTATTATCAACTGTATGTCATACCTTATATCTTATGGTAAAGATCGATAGCTTGATCTTCGTAAAAACTCACTTTTTATCTTCCACTGATGTCTTAGGTTTCAGCTCGCGACTTCGAATGCGGAAGTCCCCTGAGTGACTCACCTTTACGAAAGGGGGATTCCCCTTGGAATGTTCCATTATTTGAGAGGCGTGACAAGGTTTACCTGGCCCTTTACGTATAATGAGTAGTATGAGTACATACGTTTGTTTGTTTGTTTGTTTGTTTGTTTCATGATCAGCTTTGTTTATTTGTTTTATTTTGAAGGAAGAAGTCCCCAGGTGTACTCACGATCACATCCTTAATGACGTGTAGGAGTTATATCATTTCTGGAATATTCCATTGGCCAAACGGAAGGACTAGGCCAGGCAATGTAAACCGTAATTTTCAGCGATCTACATAAGAGTTCCTGCGATCAAGCTTTGTGCTAAATTCCCACAAACTTACTATACGCATAACGCTTCATTCACGTTTTACACCTAATGCACATATGGCGCCTCATGTTTGATGCCAAGTCAGAGAATCTGGGTTTACAATCACATTAAATTGATACGGCCGTAGCATACTTGTCAAGTAGGTCAGCAGAATGTACTGTGCCTGCTAGAAGCCTTATTGTATTGAAGAATCAAAAGACCTACGCCTGTGGGCACCTGTATAGTATGAAGGAGTGTGGGGACGTGAAAGTATGTTTTACGGTTTTCATTGGATGTTTAGTTAATTATGTTGCATCATAGTTTTGCCCGTTGCATATATTGATATCTTGGTACAAAAGCGTTATGAAGATGATTTTATGGACCATATAGATGACGTCATATTTTATTGCCCCAATGTATTCATCTTTAAAGTTATAATATAGCACTTTGGTACAAATATCTGCAATAAAAGTATGATTTCCATGTGCATAATGGTCAAAGCTACAAATGTACGTTTGCCCAAATTGATATCTACTAATTACCCGTAGTTATTAGAGAATAACTAGATTTTAATTAGGCAATTAGCTCTACGAACAGATCTTTTCCGTAGACCGCGGGCGTTAATGGTAAGTAAACGTACCATGTATTGGGCTGAGAGTCAGAGTGCATTGTCCAGAGTCACTAACCATTGTCCTTGCCTTTGTTTTGGTCGTCTTTGTGTAGCTTTCCAGATTTGCCTTTGTCCGATGGGGTGAGTAGGTTGTCCCCGTGTTGCACGATGGCGACTAGTGACGATGGTAATAGTTGCGGGTTGACGAGTAGATCGCGTAAAGTCTGTCCGGCGTTTCTGCTATGCCCCGTCGGAATGATCGTCCTGTAGAACACGTACAGGTCTGCTCATGCTGTTTACATCACGCTGGTCATTCTCGTCGTCCACGTATTCACTACGTCATAATATGTCCACTCTTGTTCTTCCTAGCTTCCACTGTTTGCTGTTTGCTAGCCGCCGAATGCCGATCTGTCTCCTCTCGGACGGCCCTCCAACCACCTGTTCGACATTTCTCGTATCTCTCATATCTCTCAGAGCAACTTGTTATTTTGTGCAGGTACATTTAATTTAGCAGAATCTCATTACATTCAGCAATTAAAAAAACTGACAACTTTTCATGGCAAATAAAAGATTCATAATTGTTGAGTCTGCTATTGTACTGTACGACAAAGAAATAGCTAATATATACATAGACAATAAACCAATCAAACAGGTATGTAACACACGGTTTCTAGGAGTCCTAATTGATGAGAAACTCACATGGAAGTTTCATATTGACCGTATTTGTAAACAAATCTATAAGAACATTGGTATAATAAGAAAAGTTGCAAGTTGCCTATCACGTAAAATATTTATCACTCTGTACTATACTTTGATTTATCCCTACTTAACATATTGTAATATAGTCTGGGCTAGTACATACACTACTTCAATCCGACCGCTGCATCAGCTGCAGAAGCGCTTCGTTAGGATTGCATCTAATGTCCCATTTTTTGCTAACTCTGCGGCTCTATTTTACAACTTGAAAATTTTAACAGTGTACGACATAAATAAACTCCAAACAGCAATTTTCGTCCACAAAGTCTTACACAAAAGTTCACAATTACCAGTTCAATTCAAGGACATATTTCAATACAACTCAGATATCCACAGTTACAGTACCAGAAAGCAAAATGATTTAAGGCCAATC